AGAGAGAGAGAGAGAGAGAGAGAGAGAGAGAGAGAGAGAGAGAGAGAGAGAGAGAGAGAGAGAGAGTTTTCTGAGATCTGAACTTGGGGACACTCGGGCCATTGCCCTGGTCTGGTATTTCGGGCCAAGACCTGTCTTTGGACGTTGTATTGAGACTGGGACTTCGGGGACATTCGGGATTGGTGACATTGGCGACTTGGTCTCTCGCCCCTCTCTTCCTCCTACGTCTCCATCTCCCTCCTACTTTGTCTGAGGATGATCAGGGGACAGCGCCCCTTCCTTGTATGCTGCGCTGCCCCCTTCTCACCGTGTGATGTATGTATGAGTGTGCATTGTCCATTCCGATATTGCTGTGTCAGATGTATGTTCAGTCTTCCGCTGCGTTTATATAGTCTCTTGCTTTGAGTCGACTCCTTGGATCTGTGCTATACTTGCCATGTTTGGATGTGTATGCGACAACCTGCCTGATACGGACAAACGTTTAACTGAGGGCTAAAATGCTTTTGATGATATTCGATGCCGAGCAAAATACTCGTATAAATCTTGTCAACCAGGCCTGGCATACCCAGGCACAACGCTGTATGGGGTCGTGTTGCGATGCCAGTTCGGCTGCTGACACAGAATTTGATTGAGTATTTCCTGGCATGGCATTCTGCTTTGTGGGCACTTGATCTGTGTGCTGACATGGCAGTGCTGATGTGGCAGTATGTGTGCTGACACGGCAGCGGTGATGTGGAAGTGCTGATGTGGAAGTGTTGATGTGGGAGTGCTGATGGCGCAGTGGGCTCTCCTAGCATGGCATCCTGTTGTGTGGCAGACTGATCTTCATGCGGACATGGCAGTGCTGATGTGGCATTTAGAGAGCTCATCCTTCCTTACACTGTGTTGCATGGCCTATGTGAGGTGCTGATCCCATGGATCCTGGCATTGTGTCTGTGTCAACCAACTCCACTGATAACTTGACTTTTTGGAAGTACCTCTTGACTTTTTGGAAGTTCCTTAGTACCAAGGGAAATTGCTTGAAACCACCAGTACTTGCCCAGCTATTGTGTTCCAACGCGGCCGTATACACACACACTGCAACTTTTGTGAGTAATACATACCTGTCTTTCTCTGACAAGATTGCTGAGCGCTGTTTTATCACTTCCCTTTTGCTTTCCGGTACTATGCCAATCTCATTGGAAGAATGAGCATTTGAGGTTTCCTGTGCTGGCTGACAATTTGAAGCGGATCTCTTGCCCTGTTGTAGTCTGTGCAGGTGCGCAAGACAGACAATCAAGCCAATCAATTAGTTTATTCTTCAAGGCATGTAGCTGCAGCTTTGCATGGAGGAGGATTAGGGGGAGGAGGAGGAGGAGGAGGAGG